AAGTTAGTGTTGTCCCCCTGCAATGTATAGAAAAAATGAGACATTAATGGAATTGAACTTGATGTCATCCTCTAACTAATGCAACTCATATGAGGATCATTCTTGGTACTAACTCATGACACCTTCATGACACCTTCGTCATATGTTTGATGTATTAGATAACTGTGTGTTGACATTGTCATTTTTCTAGCTAGCATTGGCATAAGTGGATGGCCTAACACCCTTGTATGAGGACCCTACAATTATAACTGATGTTGTATGCCATTATGCATCCTGCTTTTACATATTATGAAATCGTGTGCCATTGATATACATTTTCCTCCTCATGCACTACTCAAATCTTCAAATTTATTCATTGTCATATGTTGATCACTCTATCCCCATCTCTTCGAAGTTCAGAAAATAGTCGTGCTAAAAAGAAAAACAAAGATGGCTTGTCAACTTAGATAATATGGTTAATAAAAAAGCTTAATTTTGTATTTGCTAAATAACAAATACCACTCATACGATACTCTTGGGTAATAAGAGTTTGTCATTTCTAAAGTTGCCTTCAATAAGTAAAGTGAAGCCTAAGACTTGTACCACCACATGTACTAAGTCAAAGTGTGGTCCCTATCCTCCCTGCCATGATCACTAGCGAAAAGAGAAGTCACCTATTTTTTCCACAAAGTAATATATGACTAGTAATAAATAACCCAATGAGCATCTACCTTTTCATGTCCATCCACCCTTATATTGTCCATGGGTTATACATTGATGCAAGGCATATATCCAAACTGGTACAACACCTTGTCAGGCAAGTGCCACTCCACAATCTTTTAACTAATCAAAGGAACATAAGCCAACCAAATATCTTCACTAGCCAGTTGAATCACAATGACAAAATCTAATTTAGTTGCAATATAGATCCCATATCACATATAATTTGATTGTGATCATTAAATTAGAAGTGATGAAATAAGAGGACACCTGATTATTGAGGCAAAACTATAACATAACAATGTAACTAACTTTATAACAACTCATCAAGCTTATCCCCATAAGTTAAAACATTTGATACATGAATTTCAAGTAATGATTAATTATAGGTTAGCAAAATGATAAAATGAAGGCTTACTGCACACCACAAGAAATGATTAATTACAAATACTTATACCCCATACCAAGTCCATGTAATTGCAATGAATATGGTACATGAAGAGTTGACCTCCCTATATGAATATGCTCCCAGGACCACACTTAAAGTAGGTGTTGAAAACTAGCCACAGTGGCACATCTAGATCTAGTTGATTAGTTCAGCTATATAGGTGGGAAAGTACAACTCCCCCTAAATAAAATGTGCTAAAAAGTCCTATGTGCTCAAGCAGGGGTAGATGCTATAAGCGAACCTTAGAAATGAAAGTATTTAGAAATAGGAAGTACCCAATAATGAATAATATGTATGATCAAACATGCTTGTTAAACTACATATCATCCAAATTTATATAAGAATCTTTTATTAAAGTTCACTTAAGTCATCTTAGTGGCATATATATCATCATATGAGCTTTTTCATTATAAAAAAAATGAACTGATATGTAGGTTCACTAGATCATGGCACAACACATCTTCCTTTAGATGTCTGTATAATATCCCAAACTCTTAATTATCAAGTTATTATCTACTTTGGCCAAATAGCCTCACATTTTTTTCCTATTAATGTAACTTCTTAGAATGTCACTCATCCTAGTATTACTTCAGTACGAGTACAATTAACTTGATTATGACCCAACACATCTTCCTCTAGATGTCTATATAATATCCCAAACTCTTAATTATCAAGTTATTATTCGTTTTGGTCGAATAGCCTCATGATTTTGTCATGTTAATGTAACTTCTTAGAATGTTACTCATCCCAGTATTACTTCAGTACGAGTACGCTTAAATGTGGAGTTTCTTAATAAAATTCTAAGCATTACACCGAAATGCATCTTGATGTTTAATGTATTAGCTTCTTTCTACTAAGGGGTTTCATAATTTCCTCCACTTAAGTAACGAACATCTTCGTTAGTATCCTTATCCCAAAATCATCCACCAGATAGATAATATTCTAGAAGTGGCCCCTATAGATTCAAGTGGTGGCTCCCATCATATAACACTTTATCCCATATTGGATTCAAGAGATGGTTCCCAAGGTGCAACACTTTATCCTATATGACACATAGTTCTCATCTTCATGCTAGTGTATTTCTTTGATGCCACTCTATAATACTCCAAACTTTTAACTAATGATGTATTATCTGCTTTGGCTTAATGGCTTCATAGTTTTTTTCCCTTTGGTGTAACTTCTCAGGATGTCGCCCATCCTAGTATTGCTCTAGCATGAGCATACTTAATTGTGGAGTTTTTTTAATAAATTTCTAATCATTATATCAAAAGATGCCTCGATGTTTAAGAATTTAGCTTCTTTTTACTAAGGGGTTTCACAATATGCCTAATCGATCACATACTAATTTGGCTAGGACTACCACCTCATCCCTTATCATGCTCTAGGGTATAATGAAAGAATTGCACTTAATATTAATTATCTCTTCTTCAAATTTATGCACACTAGAGTCACTAAATATCCAAAATTAAGTAACCAAGATATTACTATCATTCATGTTTCATTCCAAAAGAAGTTTATACACTAATCTAGTGCTTACACCGAAATGCATCTTGATGTTTAATGTATTAGCTTCTTTCTACTAAGGGGTTTCATAATCTCCCCCACTTAAGTAACAAACATCTTCGTTAGTATCCTTATCCCAAAATCATCCACCAGATAGATAATATTCTAGAAGTGGCCCCTATAGATTCAAGTGGTGGCTCCCATCATATAACCCTTTATCCCATATTGGATTCAAGAGGTGGTTCCCATGGTGCAACACTTTATCCTATATGACACATAGTTCTAATCTTCATGCTAGTGTATTTCTTTAATGCCACTCTATAATACTCCAAACTTTTAACTAACGATGTATTATCTGCTTTAGCCTAATGGCTTCACTGTTTTTTTCCCTTTGTTGTAACTTCTCAGGATGTCGCCCATCCTAATATTGCTCTAGCATGAGCATACTTAATTGTGGAGTTTTTTTAATAAATTTCTAATCATTATATCAAAAGATGCCTCGATGTTTAAGAATTTAGCTTCTTTTTACTAAGGGGTTTCACAATCTGCCTAATCGATCATCATACTAATTTGGCTAGGACTACCACCTCATCCCTTATCATGCTCTAGGGTATAATGAAAGAATTGCACTTAATATTAATTATCTCTTCATCAAATTTATGTACACTAGAGTCACTAAATATCCAAAATTAAGTAACCAAGGTATTACTATCATTCATATTTCATTCCAAAAGAAGTTTATACACTAATCTAGTACATTTCGGTACACCATAAACATGTAAATACTTAGCAAACTTCTTGCTCAATAGGAAACCCAAGTCCTATTAGAGAAATCAAATTTCACATTTGTATTACTATAAATATGTAAAATAATGAAAGAAATTCATGCCCGCACCAATCATATTGACATTGATTATCACTTTATTAACAATTGCATTAAGTCTAAATATATTACATACAGTACATCATATTACCTTGCAATATCGGTATGCTGATATTTTCACTAAAGCTTTGTTTACTACCAAATTTGCTACATTTCATTATAAGTTAACAATTCAATAAGTAGTTAACTTGAGGGGTATGATAAGAGCTAAGAGTAATCATATAAGCTTTCTCAAGTTGGTTACAAAAGTGCTTAATTAGCTCCACATGCTTGTGTAGAACTCACTTATCATAACCTTTAATTATCACTATTATTGCCCTTATTCTTCTTTGTCAAGACCATTGCTAGATATTTAACTCAAAAGATGGGCAAATTATTGCATCCGGTCGGGGAGATAGGTTCTGATATTAATAAAATATTATTTTAAATTAAGTGCAGGAAAAGCGCAGTCAAAGCGCAAGTCAAAAGTGCAGGTAAAGCACAGTCAAAGCGCAAGTCAAAAGCGCAGTAAAAAACGCAGGTGACGTGACAAGTTTTTATTAGATGTCCGAACCTATCCTCCGCATCCGGTGACCGGATGCAATAATTTGCTCAAAAGATGAGAGAAGAGGTATACTTGAGTTATAAGAACCTAAAAAAAATGGAAACAAAGGAGTAATCCATGAAGGAAGGAGGGTTATAAAAGAGGGTTGGTCGCCTGTTCAATTGGAGACTGACCTCTGTCAGGACTTTCGAGCATAATAAATGAAAGAAATGAATTCGCTCATTTAACAACGATTGACATACCTAATCAATAGCCATATTAAACTGATTAAACATATTTCTAAATTTTACCTCTTGGACACCTTATTTTCATAATTTTTTTAAAATATTTAAATTAATTAAGATAAATTCTTATACTACTAATTCAATTTAGAACTCTCAACAAATGACATCTATCTAATTTTTAAAACTTGGCCCCATATAAGGGTGTTAATTTCGAGTCAAGGGTCGGGTTCAGGTCGAAGCCGAAACTAACCCTGCACAATTCAGGTCAACCCGAACCCGACCCATTTTGCAAACCGGTCGATTTTCTGGACTCGAACCTGACCTGTTTCGGGTCTGGGTCAACCCGCACGACCCGAATGACCCGGTGCTAACAAAATTGCTAGTTTTTGAGTTCAAAAACGGGTCATTATCTGCTTTTCGTTCAAAACGGATCAATCTCGTATTGCCGGGTCAAAAACGAGTTATCGGATAAAAACGTGTCAATTTCGGATTAAATGGTCAACTTGAATCCAACCTGATTTTTAAAACTGATCAAATTATTGAACTTGAATCTGACTTGTTTCGAATTCAGATTAATCTTATCCCGAAATTTTCAGTCCAAAGACCCCCCAATTCCCGTCATCGATTGCGTAACAAAGCCTGGGTGGGCTCCCCCAATCCGACCGGCTCCTTTGCTTCGCCTATATAATATCCCGCTTGGCTCGCTCCCTTTACAGAGAAGAGAACCAGAGCCTGTGAGGATGAGCGGAAGAGGAAAGTTGGTGTGCGTCACCGGAGCCTCCGGCTTCATCGCTTCGTGGCTAGTCAAGCTTCTTCTCCAACGCGGCTATACCGTCAAAGCTTCCGTGAGAGATCCCGGTTTGTTTCCTCTCTCATCTTTTTTATTCCTGTCATCCAGTCTCGCCATCTCGCTTAAACCCTAATTTAGAATAAACATCTTTAATGGAAAAAAAATGCTTGATTAGGTTATATATCAACCCAATCTATTGCAACTGGAACATGTTTGGTAATCGGAAGTAGTTTAAGAGAGGCTTGATATAAATGGAAGAGGACAAATCATTGGCCAATGGAGTACTCGTTCTGTCTCGCTTTAAGTAGAGGGACAGATCAATTTGTAGGCTTTGAAAAGTTTGATCACATCGCTCTATGGAGCATGCGCTGTGTCTTGCCTAAAATCTAGAAAGGGAATTGTCCTTTTTTCCCATCATGGATTTATATTTAAAATTTATGCATTAATCCTTTCCTTATCAACATATGCAACTGTTTTCCTTTTTAGTGTTCAGATTTTACTTCTTTGTGATTATCTTTATTTTTCTCATTTTGTTTACTGAATATTAAACTTCAGCTGATCCGAGAAAAACGGAACATTTGCGATCACTTGAAGGAGCTAGTGAGAGGCTGCGTTTGTTTAAAGCTAATTTATTAGATGAGGGATCCTTTGATGCTGAAATTGCTGGGTGTGATGGTGTCTTCCATACGGCATCTCCGTTTTATCATTCAGTAACTGACCCACAGGTTTATATTTGTTCCTCCTTTTTTTTATCTCAGCAAACTTATATTTACTTTGTTATGAATATTTTGAACACTTTCTTATAAAGAAACAACTTTTTCTTTATATTTTTTTTCCTTCCCCACTTTGATATGAAAATTTCACCTTCATGCAATTCTTGAGCTAATGTGCTACAGTTCATGAGGAAAATAGGGATCAATTATCAAATCAATGAAGTTATAGTTTTGGTCCTTTGTTAGAAACTTAGGGCCATATGTAAGCTAGACATTTACACCCAGCATTAGAAGTAAGATTAGTCTAGGTAGAGGGGAAGGTGTATAATATTATAATAAGTTGAATTGAGAAAGCACTATGAACATTACTTTGTTTTAAAATAAATAAATTAAGTAATTAAGAGACCAAAGCATAGATATAAAAGAGTTTCTCATCAATGTTTTGTAAAAAGGTAAGTGGTATGAGCATATTAGAAAAGTAAGATCGACTCAGAGAATATGAAAGAGATTGTTTCTACAATTTAAGATGGATAGTTAAATGGTTGGAGTTGTATCTATAAGTTTTTCAATTGATGATATTTTTGTCTGTCACTTTAGAATGATACAGGCCTCTCCTGATTGTATGTGGCTAGTTCAATAATTTCGCTCAATTGTTTCTTCATTTCAGGCTGAGCTTATAGATCCTGCACTGAAGGGGACACTCAATGTGTTGAATTCTTGCGCCAAATCGTCTACCGTTAAAAGGGTAGTAATAACATCATCGATGGCTGCTGTTGCATTCAATGAAAGACCACGCAATCCCGATGTTATAGTTGATGAGACATGGTTCTCCAATCCAGATTTTTGCAAGGAAAATAAGGTTCGTAAAAACAACTTCATAATGTTCTTGTGTGCTTGTGTGGAAGGCAAATCTCATAGTCTTGCACTAATTAGAGATTTTCCTTTTGTATGAATTGAACAAAAAGCTTAATCTTTTATTATATATCCTTAATTAGTCACAAAAGTTACTAAACCAAACTTGAAAATTCTATTCTAATGGATATAATGACTATTTTAAGTTGTTTTGCTTGAAAATGCATTTTATTGCTTCATAAATTACATCATATTTCTTCACTGTAATCAAGATCTAATTGTCACTCAGGCTTGGTATGTGCTGTCCAAGACATTGGCAGAGGAGGCAGCTTGGAAGTTTGCCAAGGAACATGCTATTGACATTGTTACAATAAATCCAGCGATGGTCATTGGCGCCCTTCTTCAGCCAACACTCAACACAAGCAGTGAAGCAATACTAAAATTAATAAATGGTGCGTAAATGTATTCTTTGTTTCTTTTCAAATCCTTAAGTCCTATAACCATTCTCTTATAACTAAATGTAATAATACTAATTCACTTTTGCAAAAAAACATTTCTCCATCTGCTATTGTTTTAGGTTTTACAAATCTGGTAATAGCTCTTGGGTTAGACTTTAAACTTAGGCTTTGTTTGGTACGGCTTTCTTACTGCTTCTTAAAACAGCTTTTAAGTTAAAAAAAAGAAATTTTGTTTACTAGAAAGATGCTTTATGAAGCAATAAGAAAGCAGTCTCAAACAAAGCATTAGTATGTGTATTCCAACAAAGTAAATTCCATTGCATAGACACATGGTTAGTTTTAGAAATGCGAATATTAAGAAGGACATTGAAAAAATTACATAATAAATTAAAAAATTCATTTATTGATGAAATTGTTTGGGTGACGTTTATTAAAGATTAAGCAATTGAAAATAGATTTAGATATTTTGGATATTTACAATAAATGATAGAAAGTATACCCATATGATTACTATTTATAATTAAACATATTTTAATGTGATTTAAACACTAGAGTATTATATAAATAAATATAAAAATTTAGATATTATATTATATAAATACATACAAATTTTATAATATTTATGTAAATTGTCCTTTCATTTGCATTACAGCTGTTTACTTTATTCAGTTTATCATTGCAAGTTTTGGGTCAACTAACTAAGTTTTCATTTGGGACAGTTTTTTTATTACTTTATAAAGCAGTTTTTTAGTACATATTTTTTTTGAATTTAAAATTTTTGTACTAAAAAGTTGCTTCATTAAAGAATAAGATTTTGTTTGGGACGACTTTCTTACTACTTCTTAAAGCAGCTTTCTATTGTACTAAAAAATTACTTTAAGAATATATCAAATTATGATAATAATCCTAACAACTGCAGGAAGTTCTACATTCCCGAATGTAACATTTGGATGGGTGGACGTGAAAGATGTATCTGAAGCACACATTCTGGCATATGAAAACCCCTCAGCAAGTGGAAGGTACTGTTTAGTTGAAAGAGTTCTTCACTACTCTCAGCTCGTCAAGCTCATAAAAGATCTGTATCCTTCCATTCAGGTTCCTGAAAAGTAAGTTCTATATTAGGTCTCATAAAGTCTTATTTGTTCTTTATTTTTCTTATATGATATCTGAACAATCTCTCTCTGATGGCAGAGCTGCAGATGATAAGCCCTTTACGCCAACTTATCAGGTTTCCAAGGAGAAGGTGAAGGGGTTGGGTCTTAGCTACAGGCCTTTGGAGGAGAGCATCAAAGAAACTATTGAAAGCTTGAAGGAGAAGGGTTTTGCGAAGCTCTAAGCTCTTGAAATTTGCTACTATGTGAAGAAAATCACTATCACTGTGTGAGTGCCTTTTCTTTCAATAAAATTTGCAGATCCTGGGTGGATACCTGGGCTTATATGTATCTTTTACTTTATAAAAATTTTCTGCATTGTCGCTTCTATTACCTCTCACGCCCTTCAAAGAAAATGAAGCATTTTGATATTGCTTCTGTTTCAGGTTTGCATTTGGTCTAAGGCTTCGTTTGGGATGATATTCTTGCTGCTTTTTAAATCAGTTTTTCAGTACAAAAATTTCTTGTTCAAAACAATTTTGTATTAAAAAGTTGTCGTAAAAAGCAATATAAAAGCCGTTCCAAATAAAGCCTGCATGTTAATTATTCTCTCTCTCTTGTCTTCTTTTTCTACATATTTTTTTTTTCCTCCTATTTTTTTCTTATTCTTCATTTTATTTTTCTCTTCATTTTCTCTTCTTCATCATTTCAGAGAGGGAGAACATCCCTCGTCCTCAACCTCATCATTTTTCCCTCATCAAAATGATAGCTGATAGGTTGCTTCATTGAATGTTATGATTGTAATAAAATTATCAAGATAGTGAAATCGAATAGGGCAAGGACAACGAACCAGCACAAGGAGGTTTAATATTCGACCTTCGAATCAGATGATGTAATAAATTATAATATTATTAAAAATTTTAAAAAAATATGATAATGATATTATCATTTCAAATGTGAGACAATAAATTAAATGAAATAAAAAATTATGAAACATGAAACTTATATAATTAATTAAAAGATTTTCTTTTTAAATCTCACATAAGAGCAAAAATCTCTCAAATCTCATAATTCTAAAAATTTATACTCATAATAATATAGTAAATTTAAATTTTGTGGTAATTGAACCAACCGATTCTTTTGAATCGGGGAACAGTCCACTAGTTTAGGGCTGCAAGCGAACCAAACATTTGACGATCTACTCATGTTCAGTTCTATTAAAGCTCTTTTCTAATCGTTTAACTAACTAAACAAATAAACTTGAACAACATTTTTAATACTCGATTCTTAAATAAACAAACTTGAACACTAATGTGTTTGATTCATTTATGTTCACGAACAACATCATTTGAAGCTCGTGAACAAGCTCGATAAGAAGCTTAATAAAAGTTTGATTCGTGTTCGATTTAGAACTCGTGAATAAGCTCGATAAATATATTCATTTAGTTTAATCATTTTTTTATTTTAAACAGATAACTGTTTTTCCTATAATTTTAATTTCATTTTTTTGTATACCTTTAGTAGAATGAATTTGTTCATGAACAAGAGACATTTCATATTTGTCAATGTTTGCTAAATTGTTTGTGTAAGATGTTCATGAACAAATATAAGATGAATTATATATCATTTGTTCATGAACGAGCTCATTTGGTATCTCGAAAGTACTAGTTATGTATATATTCATGATCTTGCTCATTTGATAGCTCAAGAATATTCATTAGATTTGTTCATGAACGTTCTTTTTTTATAATCTAAAAAAAATTGCTAAATATGTTCACGAACATAACTCGTTAATGCTTGTTTGTTTAAAGCTCGATAAGCACTAAAATGAACCGAACATGAACACCATTAATTTAAACAAATCAAACATGAACATAAACAATAATGCTCGAATCAAACACGAACCGAACTTGAACAAGCTAATAATAAATGAACTCAAACATGATCACTAACATACTCGACTCGGTTCGGTTCATTTGCAGCCCTTTGAAACCAAGGACGGTTCTGATAAGTTTAATCTAGTTTGTGCATAAGTAATTTTCAGAGTGGATTGAATCGGTCTTGTGCCTGACTCACAACTAAACCGACCTGTCCGATCCAATTTATTTTTTTGGTTGTAACTGATGAAAGTATTTTTACACCGCCGTGCCACAAAGTTTTCAATGCTTGCAACATCCTCTAAGACACTCATGCTCAGCTTCCCCAAATTTTGAAGCTATATTACAATTTATATATTAAAAAAAAGGGAACAAAACTTATTATTTAGAACTAATGCACTCTCTCTAAGAGTATTTACTCAAGATATAAAAAATTTTCTCCTTTAAAGTGACATTGAACATGTGACGCCCCAGGCATCCAGGTTCGTACAGACGAAAATGGCAGATTTCTTCACAAATTTCTTCAGTTCGTCCAGTACTAAAGTCAGATCGTACGGGACTAACAGCACAAAAAAAATCAGCTTTTTTAAGGATTTTACAGAACATACCTATATTAATAATATTATAACTCAAAAGTTGTAGGACAAAATAATATCACCTGTCATATGATTTCCTAAGACTGTTCTTAACAAAAATAGGTAATATTCAATCAAAATTGTGGTAGAATTTGGAACACATGATCTATATTTGTATAGAAAAACTTGAAAGCTTCCAACTATGTGCTCCTCACCAAATGCTAGAAAAATGAATATTAGTCCCATAGAGTTCATTTATTTCTTGTGTTATTTTTATCAAATTGTACATGCTTAAAAAGAAATGTTTTAATTAGCATAAATCACTTTCAATTAGATTAAGCTTTCGTTTGGGACTGCTTCTTAATACAAAAAACTTTAGAATTAAAAATTTTTATAGTAAAAAGCTAGTTTAAAAAATAGGAAGAAAACTTCCCCAAACGAAGCCTAACTAATGTTTTTTTTTTTTTTTTTTTCCGTTTATGCAATATAAAAATAATACTCTTAGATCCTTCATGAACCTCAATAAAAGATGAGTCATTTCACCATTCCAATAAAATAGAGAATTCTAATAATTAGTAAGTCGACTCTATTCGACCTCCTTAGTCGTTTTAGCCTTTTTGATGAAAAAGTAAATGAAGAAAAATAAACCTGAAGCTAGTCAGCTCTTCACCCCTTCTATTTCCTGATATCCTGCACGCAAACGGCTACGAGGTCAATGAAGAAGATAGCGAGAAGGAGTTCGATGGAGGCCAGTGAAAGTATGATACAGGCCGTAGCTCTTTATAGAGCAATATCCCAACAGGTGAAGTCTAATAAGTCGATATGGGGAGGAGACGCTGCAGGGTCATAAGGATGAAGTGATAAGGCATATGCTACAACAATTGGGAGCTTCACGATAGGGATGCGGAATTTCTCTCGTTTACGAGCAAAGCTAAAGGGTTAAATTTGTCAAGCTATGGGATTTGGAAAATCAAGGTTTTACGATAAAACGAGGTGAGATTGGGATTTATATTTCTATAGGATTTATAGGATTCGTTTTCTGGCGTTTGGTCTAATTTACCTTAAATCTTGCTCAAATCTTGCATCCAAACAACCCCTAAGGGTTATATAAAGGTGAAGCTTAGTAGGTACCAGCATTTTCACATTCGGGGGTTGAGAAGAAGGTGACCTCAAGCCAACCTTCCTCCATTTGATCTCATTCTCCAAAGTTGCAGCAACTCAAAGACTGATGTCAAACTAACTAAAAAGTTCAAAATCTATCCTTTTGTACTCTTTCTCCACTTCAATATATCTTGGTTTAAGCCTTAGGAAGATAAGATAATGTATATGATCATGTGCCAAGAATGAGTAAGATATTTTGGGCTCAAATCAACTATTCCTATTCATATTAGAACTCTATCTAGTTTTGTTCAAGATTAGATGAGAATTAAGCCTACTTTGAACAACTATTTAAGCCTACTTTAACCAACTATTTAGCTAGATTTGAATGAAGCTTTCAACATTGGATAAGGTGGGCTCAAGGTAGTCCAGGTGACTATTTGGGAGGGTAATATGTATTCTTAGCCATGCATAGGTTCAAAGCTAATTAATACATGCTTAATAAAGATTTAACTAAGTTTGATTTTTGAATTATTTAATTTGGCCAATATCTTAAACATTTGACAATGTGGAATTAAGATGCCCTAAGTGGTTTCTAGGAGTAAAATGGCTAATTGAGGTCTAGAGGAACCTAACTAGGCCATTTTAATGGGTTTGGGTTTAGGTTTTTAGCTAATTAACTTACATTTGACTATATTTGATTATTTAGACCTAGATGTGACTAAGGTTCAATTAGGTTAACTTAGGGTGTCCTATATGGGTCGACTAAGGTCTAAGACCACGTTTAAGGAGCTATAACTTATATGATTTATCTTTGGGCTAGCCTAGGAGTGCTAGGTAATAAAGTGGTCAACGTGCGCTTCAAATATAAAATAGGTTGAGGGTTGACTTTTGGTCTAACTAAATTAGCCTAGATCTCTCTAGCACATGCTATGGGTGGTTATGGCTGTGTGAAAGTTCCAAACATATATGCTAGGGAGTCAAGGGTGGACTTATCAGATCATAGGTCCAAAAAGGCGGAATGGTGCTAAGTATAACCAAGTAGGTGTAACATGGTATCATAGGTAGACTAAGTAAAGAGAGTGTGTTAGCATTATGATTCAAGATAATAGGCCCAATACATATTAGTCTAGTGATCATAATCCCCGAAAGGTTGCTATTGGATGTGTGTACTGCAATAGAAGAAGTGTGAGAGACATCTCTTAAATAAACATAAAAAGAATATAAGGTGTATAAAAAACCCCAAGTGTCAAAAGAATGATGCCAATAAAGAATTTATCTAATTATGGACAACCAATATCAAAATTCACACATTTTATGAGAAGTTAAAAGTTTTTCTCCTTCATATAGCTCACCACCTTTTCTCATTGGCATTATCGTGCTATGAAATATTGCCGACAATTTCAACATTTCCATCGTTCATCAGTGATTAAGCAGTGCAGGGCACATATCCAAAAACTTTAATCATCAATGTCAAAGAATCCAACATTGAATAAATCATATCTGATTCTTGATGTTCCCATCCTTTTGCTATAAACACATGAGCCTCCTTCTTTACTTCAATCCAGCTATAACCAGGCTCCTTCACAGTCCCAATTTGGTCCATCCTCTCCCTTATCATCTCTACTTCTTCCCACATACCCTTAGAAGCAAGTATATTTGACATTAGAACATGTGACCCACTATTATTTGAATCTAACGACATTGCTTTTCTTGCTGCATGCCTTCCCAATTCAACATCTCCATACACTCTGCATGCACTTAACAAGCTCCTCCACACTGCTGCAGCAGGTTTGATTGGCATCTGTTCAATAAATTCTTTCGCCTCCAGCAATCTCCCAGCACATCCCAATAGGTTAACTACAGAAGCATAATGCTCCATGCCTGGTTCAATTCCAAAATCAAGTTTCATTGCACAGAAGTGAGACAATCCTTCCTCGACTAGCCCGGCATGGCAACATGCGGTGAGCAAACCAACAAATGTTACATAGTTCGGTATCATTTTCTTGCGAAGCATTAAATCGAAAATTCTAAGGGCTTCTCCAGAATGCCCATGCTGTGCACACCTGGAGATCATTGAATTCCAGCATGCAACGTCTCTTTCATTTGTTGCTTTGAATAAAGTTTTAGCATCTTCAATACTGCCACATTTTGCATACATGTCAATAAGTGCATTCAAAACATGCGAATCGAATTCTAGACCTGCTTTTATAATTTGAGCATGAAACTGGGAACCATGGAAGAGACTAGCAAAAAAACTAGCCATTACAACAACTGAAGTAAAGGTAAATTCATTAGGCCTCATTCCAACAATGCAAAGTTGATGGAAGAGCTTAAGAGCTTCTTCACCTTGACCATTCTGGACATACCCAAATAGCATAGCATTCCACATGACCAAATCCCGCTCTTCCATCTCATCAAACACTTTTCTTGCATCCTTAAGATATGAACATTTAGAGTAGGCGTCCACCATAGCACTGCCAGCATAAGGTTCCAATGTTATACCAGACTTAATTATTAGGCAATGAACTTGCTTGCTAGCATCAACCTCATAAAACGACGTGGATACTCCGATGAGGCTCACAAAAGTTAGAAGGCTTGGATGTAATGACAAGGATCTCATCCTATTGAATAGAGCAAAAGCTTCTGAAATCTCATCATGTCTCGCATATCCTTCTATCATGGCATTGTAAGAAACCACATCTTGTCGATTCATGGCACAAAACAAAACTCTTGCTTGAGCTAAAGAATTACATTTGGCATACATGTCAATAAGAGCATTATTCACATATCCATCAAACCACAAATTAGCTTTCATGGTATATGCATGAACTTGCTTACCACGTTCCAAATCCACTAAAGAACCACATGAACTCAGAACACTTGTGCAAGCAAATGCATCAGGCCTCCACCCTAGCCTGCTCATCTCTGTAAACAAAACCAGTGCATCCATGTCATATGAATTCTGCATATAGCCAGCAATCATAGTGGTCCAAGATACAAGATTTTTGGTAGAAATCCTCTCAAATACTTTCCTCCCAGTTCCCACCTTAGAGCACTTACAGTACAAATCAACAAGCACATTATTGATGGAGACATCCATCTCAATTCCCCTCCTATACACATAACCATGTGCTTGTCTACCACCTTCGAGAAATTCCGTGGCTGCACAGGCACTTATCAGACTAGAAAGGACGAACATATCAGGTTTCACTCCTGCCACCTTCATTTCCCCAAACATCATTAGGGATAACTCGTGCTGCCCAGTTTGCGAAAACCCTGACATAATGGCAGTCCATGTAACAGAGTTCCTAATTGGTAGCTCGTCAAATATCAACATTGCTCCTTCCATGCATCCAATCCTTGAATAGAAGTTAATCAGTGCAGTGCCCACAAAAACATCCAAGAGAAAACCTGTTTTAATGGCAAGACCATGAACTTGAAACGCACAACCAATGACAACTGCGGACTGACAACAAGCTCGCAGGACACTGGCAAGGATGAACTCATTTGGGTGTTCGGAAAAGGTTGATGATCTTCTGAAGCATGAAAAGTGGGAGAGGGCATCTTCAGCTTCGCCATGCTGCGTGAACATAGAGATCATTGAGGACCATGATATGATGTTTCTTTGAAGCATTCGATCAAACACTTGGCAGGCTTCCTGAAGAAGGCTGGATTCAGAGTAGCATTTGATAAGGAGATTGTTGATGAAGAGGTCAGACTGGAGGCCAGAGACAAGGGCTTGGGCGTGGATTGGTTGGAGAAGATGGTATTGTAGGGTTTGGCTTGAGATGCATGATTGAAGGAGGTCAGCAATGATGGCTTGACAATGACGGCTAGAAGAAACCAGCGAAAGCGCCGGTTTAAATTTAAATATCATGCGATCTTGGCATCGGCCAGTTTGAAGAAATTCGCCTTTACGTACAGATTTTGGTTCAGTCACTGAACTAGGTTTGAGGGTTTAACGGTAGAATCCGAGGGTTTTGTATTGGTCGTTTGTTGCCCGTGATTAACCCTAAATCCTACCAAAAGGTTTCCATCATCTAAAAAATAAACAATCTTACCATTTTTAAAGTTCCTATTCACCTCGGTTTTGCATTAAATTATTGATTTAGTAGATTCAGCGGATTTACGGAATTTTGAAAAACAAAAAAGCGCGGGAGAACGTTGAGGGTTAACTTGCCTTCGCCGGCGACCTCCGGAGAGAACGATGAGGTTTAACTTGCCTTCGCCGGAAACCTCCCGGACTTCCTAGCTTCTTCTAGCTTACGACTTCCTCGCTCGTGAGGGCTTCAATAGCCCGCTTAACGGGAAGAGGAAAGAAAGACAACGGGGGAGACGTCGGGAGGCTGCCGAAATTTGGACTGAAGATTCAATGACTTGGACAAAACTTGCACTTGAACTTGAACTCGGACCAGAACTTGTACTTGGACTTGAACTTTAAAAAAAAAATAAAAAAAAAAAATGAATGACATAAAATTCAAATGATTAAAATGGTCATGAATTTAACTTGAAAACAATTATTAATATGAAGCAAATTGAGATTATAATTAAATGTTATTGATTGACAATGCAAATCTTAACATGCAAAGTAAAAAAAAAAAGATTGCAAGAATTAATGATTTGATTATAAAGCCCTGATATGAGTTTTTGGGTCAACCTAATTGACTCATAACATGAGACTTGATTCATCATGTAGCAAAGCTCATTTAATTACAAGATATATGAAACTATCTTCAAATCATCATGTATGTTGCAAATAATATGTAGAGGCAAGAAGTATAATTTGCCTACAAGAAGAGAACTACACATAAATAACTTGCAAACTTTGGCATGGAATTTTTTGAACGATTAGCTTGTAACGATCATCTCAATTGGGATGCAAATGAATGAATATATCAAACTTGTCATACTCATTGAATCATCTTCCAAGACAAAGAATTTTGCAAATACATTTTGTTTGCAAGAAATACAAAATATGGGAGATGCGGCTCGATCACAAAGCCATGATATGGGGCTTTCGGATCATGATGAATGACATGCAACTTTGCAAAGCAACAATCTTAATCATACAAGCAAAGATATGTGATATGTGCAATAATAGATTTGTGATCGATATCATCATATAAGTAAGTGAAAACAAATTCTCAATATATGCAAATGAACAAGCAACGATTCAAAGCTCTCTTCAACGAACATCATTGCAAGTAACAATATGAAATTTCTTGCTCATGAATAACAATCAATAGGAAGCAAACAAATGGTGCAAACAGAACATGTTGGTTGCAAGAAATGCTACGAGATTCTCAGCTCATCCATGAATTAAATCCCCCGACGGTCATTGCAAATTCTTATGTCAGCAACGGTGATCGACTAGCAACCTTTATCTCATTCATATTTATGAGAAAGTTGATATATGAAAGAGCGTTGTTTGTGGACGACAATAAGAGACACACCAACTATACATGCTTGAAAAATTGGTAGCGAAATGCAACTTGACTAATAGTCAATAACAAATCACTTGCATACGAAATATGAAAAAGGGTAGATCATAAATATGATAGGTTTTAAAGATCTGCAATACATACAATCTTTTTACGAATACGGATGTATGTATAACATGCCACTTATGGGTAGATCTAGAAAGACTTCAGTAAATGCAGTATCCTGAAATCAATTTCAATATATAAATAAATACATCTACCTACCTACATGCACCAGTGGCAAATGTATTGAAAAGATCAAAGACTACCATAAAATATATGAAGAATATGACAAGTGCAAGCTCCTACGATTTAAAGCAGGAGATTAGTTAGTGTACTAAAATCTATTTGCAAAAGGCAAGTAGTGCATGACAGTATACCTGTAGGAAGTAGCGAACAACTCAATTCAGAAGTTGCTACGCCACACCACCGAATCCGCAATTTCTATGCAAGCGGACAGAAGGCGTCTACAAATACTTTCAAAGTACCCCCGCACATACACAGTAGTTTGTATACACATAGGTACACTAAAAGGGGTAAAAGCAATCACAAAACCCGCATGGGCCCCGATGAGCGTGCTATAAAAATACACGTGATGTCTAGGGATGCTGCGCGGTTATCAAATTTTGAACCCGATCCTCCTAAGAAGATAAAAGGAGTGGACAGGGTTCAATTATAAAATGCCCCAAATACTCGCATGGGCCCCGGCGAGCGTGTTATTGGTACACACGTGACTTCTAGGGATGCTGCGCGGGTTGACAAGTGAATTCAGGTTCGAAACCGATCCTTCTATACGAGTCGATAGAAGTCGACAGGGTTCAAACTAACAAACAAATATACGGTTGTGGCGACCGTCATATTTGTCTTAATAGATTCATATTAGGTCTTCAAGGTCTATAATAATGATAATTCACTATCAAGGGCATAAAGCCTACGAAACTCGATCCTCGATCAATAGCTTTGTCGAGTTGACAGGGTTCAAACAACAAAAGAGAAATGACCACAAACACCCCGATGATGGCCATGCTGAATGAAAATCTCAACTGGAGGGGTCCATTCCAAATATTTTCATAATGGCCATCATCGACAAAAAATCCAAAACTACACAAAAATCTCAAAAATCCCAAAAATATTTAAAATTGAAATAAATCCATCAATTGCTTCAAGCAAAATTCATCCACCCTCCGTAACAGTTTGCCGAGGCGGACAAATCAAAATTTACTTTAGCTCACAAAGAGTCAAATGCCTAGTCAAAAATATCACTAAGATCTATTCTCAAACAACCTCCTGCTAGTAAAGACGTGGTACGTGTCCTCTAACCGACGGTTTTGCCGCCAAATGGCACCGCAGGATAAACGGTTATGACTCGGGCCTCTCTGAACCGAGTGGTTTCGCCGCCAAATGGTACCACAAATACCGGTTATGGCTAGCGTCAATATGCTCCTTAGTGGCATCAAATCCTTGAGATATGAATCAATAGGATATGATCGATAGGGCACAAAGCCCTCTGTTAGCTAAAGTGGATTCAAATTTGTCCCCTTAGGCAAATATCCATCCCAAGTCTACAAGGTCCCCCTTGGACGAAGAAACCCATGGCTGCCGACAAGAATCTTTCTGTCAGGTTGGGTTCGACTACCTCCTTTGACTAAGTAGATCAGGGACCACGATGGTCCGGGATGACGGAACCATGAGATCTTGATCGGGTCTATCATCCATTCCCCCACCATTTACTTTAAGTGCTAGATGGTGGAAGTTTCTAATTTTAAATATCAAACCTTCAAATTCCCAGATATCAAATCTTCCAACTCAAATTCCTAAATTTTCCAACATTCCATACCCATGCTGCTACTATATGCAAGATACCACGTATTCTATATGTATATGATCGACGACTAGCCTTAATCGAAAGTATTTAAAATTAAAAAAATATTTAAATTTAAAATTATCATATTATTATGAATGTAAATTCGTAGAATTATAAAGTTTGAGATTTTTCTGGCTCTTATGTGAGATTTGAAAAATAATTCTTTCAATTAATTATATAAGTTTTATATTTAATAGTTTTTTATTTTATTTAAATTTTTTTATGTCAAATACATAATGATGACATCATTATTATATTAAATTTATTAATTTTGATAATATTATTATTTATTATGTTATCTGGTTCGATATCTGGTTTAACCCCAGTTTCGACTGGTGCAACTATGGATCTCTTTTTCTTCTGGTTTGTTTTCCAATCCGATTTTCACAACCTTTGGATAAATCAAGGCACAAACATTCTAGTTTGTGATCCCTTTTAAATATCTTGGAGAGCTCATGGCACGAACACAGACATTACAAACTATGTAAAAATTAGTTTGTGCTCCCTTTTTATCTCTTAGTCTTTCATTACATGCATTGTTATTTAATCTTACTCATGATTTTCATGACTTGTGCTCAATGGATGAAGTCGAGAGGGATGATGATTTTATATTTTGTATGAATCACTAAATATATTCTTAGGTGTTGGTAATTGTATTGTGAGATCTAGTCAAACAATGATGCTAACTATTCACCCCCATCTTGGGTGTTGTCATTTGCTTCAATATTCACATCTTACTACCTACACTATACACTTTTTTGTATGATTATTTGATAGTTTGCTTAATTATAATCCCCTCCCCCTCCTCTTGTCTCCTCTCACCATGCCTATAATCTTTCAATTAATGAACTTAATTTTATTATCCTAATGTTCAAGATTCTAACATGATCTTAAGTTTAGGCATCAAATCTTATGTATAATATCAATTTAAAGTTTGAAAATAGAAATCAATTAAAAAGTATTAATTATTTTATCATTTTCCTATCAAGACATCAAAGAGAGGTAGAAAATCATAAGATCACCAATAAGTCTAGAATGTAAGGCCTTTACAAAATCATATGTTTATTATGAAGGTTGATTGGTATGTATCCATGCCACAAATAAGAAATTCACAAAGGGACTATTTGTTTTGCTGAAAAAAGAGTAGGGGTTTTCAAACTTTTATAATTTTATAAGGTTAAAATAGAATGCAAAGTACTTTGATTATGTATTTTTAATTCATCATTTATTTTTCTATTTGAAATTCACCCAATTTGATAGAATTTTAAATGCATCGCATGCATGAAGCTTCCTTCGTGGTGAATGATCAAGGCCACCTACTACTATCGTTACCATAACCCGCCCCCTCCCTGTAGCCCCATTGACACAAGTAGATTCAACTCTGCTATCGACACCCATCACCCAGGACCTCTCACACCCCGTGACCATCACCACTATTTTCTACCACCGTTATAGCTCATATGATTGAGTTTTATACCAACTTCATTTTATTTCAAACTAAACACGATAAAACAATCTTTCTAAAAGTTTTTAAACACAATATTTATTTTGCACTACATCCCTATTACTCTCCACTCCTTTTCCAACAAACCAAATCATCCTTATTAGGTGGATTTCAACTTTGCAACTAGAATTAATTGGTGAGAAATTCATCTTTACAACTCAAGTTTTCTACTTGGCCAAGTTCTGACCTTTTCAGCCCATTCTGATTGAAAACAACACGAATAGTTCATCACTCGATCCATCATTATTGGAAGCAGTTCATCATTCAAGAGATAGATCCTAAAGAAAGAAAGAAAGAAAGGAAGAACTCCTAAAACATACTTAGAAAGTGAAAAAAGATAGATAAGAACACACAATTTCCAGCTGAAGCTTTGCCTCTACTTGAATCATTTGGCATCATCGATCCCCTAACTAGAATATGCCCCTGAGAAGATTAGCTGCAGTAGAGAGAGCTGCTCCAGTTATGGCGCACTGCACCAATTGCTCATGAGTTGTATCCTGCAGTGTTAAGGCTAGTGCTGCTCCTGTAACAGCCCCAGCAACCACACTATTCTTCTGCATCAACGCAAGCTTTATATATTAGTAAATGAATATCAAATTAAAGAGTATCTTCCTAATTGGGATGACTTTTTTTTTTCTATTGTTTGCTTTTTGAAAAAAAAAATATTTGTTTAGTTTGTTTTAAAAAGCAAGTTAATTTTTTTATCAAGAATTGAAGTGCCTTAATGATGTCAAAATTACATATCTTGGACTTTTGTTGGATTTGTCTCATTGAGCCGCTCGATTTAACTATAAGCATGCTATATTAATTTGGAAATCATTTGATTACTCAATCAATAATTTGAAGCTTTCAAGTATGCTTCAGCCGCATGATTCAAGCCCATTTGGACTCGGATTAAATCGATTTTGCTGTCATTGCATTCATCTTGTCAAGACGTTCAATTTGACTATAAGTTTATTATTATCAGAAATTGGATGGTCCCAAATTTAATCTTCTAAGTTTCCAAATCAATTACTCATATAGATTAGTGCTTGATCAAGATAATTTTTGATGAAAACCAATATAAATTGAGGTTACAATCAAAATGATCTCTCTCAAACTAGTTGAAATTATCAATTTAGTCCCTTAATTACTTAAACGTAAAGTTAATCACAAATTATGAGAAAAATGAGATTCATATAAATCAAAATATATAATTACTATCATTTATTTTGAAGTTCGACATGAAATTCACTAATTCTGGAGCAAAGCATTAAGAAATTACCCAATCATGAGTTCCTCTGGCCTCTCTCAGCCCATATGTTATCCCTGAGTAAATGCCAGCAGTCAGTCCTGCAATTCAATACCAGCTATCAATCCCTGAACATAAGCATCTTTTGCTCAAAATAAAAAAAAATTAAGGCTTCATTTGAGATAATTTTCTTACTGCTTTTTAAAACAACTTTTAATTAAAAAATATATTGAATTGGAAATTTTTTACTTAAAACTTATTTTAAAAAGTCATAAAAAAATTGTCCCAACGGAACAAATTCTAAATGAAGGAAAAATCTGAATTCATCAATCGATATGAGCTACAGAAAAACAGAAATAAGCTGAAGATCTTACCCCATTGGAAAGATTCCCTCCCAGTATACCTCACCTGTACTCATTAGAGTGAAAAAAAAAGGATTATATATTCAGCATAAAATTCTGAAAATAAGAATTTGTTCGATAAATAGCATCCCCTCTCACCAGTGCTTCAAGAGATTTCCCATTATGTTCTCCTGTACAGCAGTGAAAAACAGAAATACAATTACTTGCACTAAATCCAAGCATCAAGAAAAATGAAGAAAAAACAAAGGTTGCCACCTTATTTACCTCTCAGATCTGGTAACCTGCGCTTCCTTGCACCCGGGAGCTCAGGCACAGTGCCTGAATCAATACTAGAACCTGAAAATTGAATGGTTTGATTTAATCTATAAGAAGAGAGATAATTTACTGAAAAACAATACAGGTGATGAAGTTCTAATGAAAGGCATCACCATCCACTGCACTGAAATAGACCTCTCGGGAAACTGCTTGGAGAGCACCAATCTGTAGTAATCATACAAGGCAAAAGCAGCTAATTTAAGCAAATTATCAAGCATTTTCAGTCCTAAAAAACTTGCAGGACTCGAACTTTATTCAGCATTTGACACCACAGTATTTCATGATCCTGAATTAAAAGCATTTAATTGTGTTCATGGCGCAGCTTTGTACTAAATTTGTTAGCTAAACCCAATGAATAGCAGTACAGTTATGAGATGGATTTGTTTTACAGGAAAAACTAAGGCTTCATTTGACACAACTTTCTTATTATTTTCTAAAACTTTATTTTAAAAAACAGCAAGAAAACTGTCACAAACGAATTCTAAATTGGATGATATTTAATTACTACAAAACAAAATATATGTTTGTAACTTAATCCAGATAAAACTCCAAAGCACTCATAACGAGTGATTTTTTTTTCTTCATTATATTGAAACCATTGTTGCAATTCAATAATAAGATTGAATTCTTTTCGACTAAGGTTGTTTAACTGGTTAATGTGTAAAGATGTGTAGTGCATGCCATCAAATCACTAACATTATTATGTGTAATTGGTTCCTATTCAGTTTCTTTGAAACTTGGCTACACAAACAAAACGTTTGGTCTTTCTAATTATAGGTGAGGAGCTCTAATGAAGTATTTACTGTTGTTCTATATGATAATTACATTTTTCTATTTTTGAAGTGTGAATCCACTGTTATAATCTTAAAAAGCTTCTATATCAATATCTAACATTAAATCAGCCTTGCAAGTGCACCATCAAACACTCTCTTACTAGAGTACTTTATTAGCAAAATCATCTCTTCTTAAGGCTTCATTTGGGACGGTTTTCTTACTGCTTCTTAAAACAATTTTTTAGTAAACTGCTTTAAGAAGCAGTGAAAAAGCTATCCCAAATAAAACCTAAATCTTTGGTGTGGCAACGTTCGTCGGAGTAAGGGAGTGATTGCAAGGAGGGTAGAGGAGAACTCTTAGAAGTATATTATAAGAGGCTATGAAAGAGCCTTCTTTCACCTTGGGACATGGTATGAGGGCCCTCCCTAAATCCCAAAGCGGACTAGGCCATGTTAGGCCCTCTAAGCATGTATGGTGGTTTAGAATGCTCTATTCAACTACTTACAAAATTCCTTCCAAAGGACTTGGTGTGGCAACATTTTGTCAAGGCTTTGCCAAAGCTGAGGAGGGAGAGCTTGCTAAGAGAGTAGAGGATGCTTAGTACTAGAGAAGAGGATATAATAGAGCCTTCTTTTTTCTTGGGATTTGGTGATAAGATCCCTCCACAAATACCGTAGTTGCCTTGGTTAAGTGGTGCACCTTAAACATGTAAAAATTACACTTGAATTTTGTTTTGATCATGCCAAATCGATCTATTAAGGCTTCATTTGAGATAATTTTCTTACTGCTTTTTAAAGCAGCTTTTCATTAAAAAATATATTGAATTGGAAATTTTTTACTAAAAACTTATTTTAAAAAAGTCATAAAAAAATTGTCCCAACGGAACAAATTCTAAATGAAGGAAAAATCTGAATTCATCAATCGATATGAGCTACAGAAAAACAGAAATAAGCTGAAGATCTTACCCCATTGGAAAGATTCCCTCCCAGTATACCTCACCTGTACTCATTAGAGTGAAAAAAAAAGGATTATATATTCAGCATAAAATTCTGAAAATAAGAATTTGTTCGATAAATAGCATCCCCTCTCACCAGTGCTTCAAGAGATTTCCCATTATGTTCTCCTGTACAGCAGTGAAAAAAAGAAATACAATTACTTGCACTAAATCCAAGCATCAAGAAAAATGAAGAAAAAACAAAGGTTGCCACCTTATTTACCTCTCAGATCTGGGAACCTGCGCTTCCTTGCACCCGGGAGCTCAGGCACAGTGCCTGAATCAATACTAGAACCTGAAAATTGAATGGTTTGATTTAATCTATAAGAAGAGAGATAATTTACTGAAAAACAATACAGGTGATGAAGTTCTAATGAAAGGCATCACCATCCACTGCACTGAAATAGACCTCTCGGGAAACTGCTTGGAGAGCACCAATCTGTAGTAATCATACAAGGAAAAAGCAGCTAAATTGAGCAAATTATCAAGCATTTTCAGTCCTAAAAAACTTGCAGAACTCGAACTTTATTCAGCATTTGACACCATAGTATTTCAGATCCTGAATTAAAAGCATTTAATTGTGTTCATGGAGCAGCTTTGTACTAAATTTGTTAGCTAAACCCAATGTATAGCAGTACTGTTATGACGTTGCTCAGAAGGTTCGATGGATTCGTTTTATAAGGATGTGGGAAAATTAAGATTTCGTTTGGCACAACTTTCTTACTACTTTTTAAAGCATATTTTTTAGTACAAAAATTTTTTGAACTACTTAAGAATTGCTTTAAAAAACAGCAAGAAAACCGTTACAAAAGAAGTCAAGTTAAATGATATTTGATTACTCCAAAACAAAATATATGCTTGTAACTTATTTCAGATAAAACTCCAAAGCACACATAACGAGTGATTTTTTTCTTCTTTATATTGAAACCATTGTTGCAATTCAACAAAAAGATTGGTTTCTTTTCGACTAAGGTTGTTTAACTGGTTAATGTGTAAAGATGTCAAGTCCCATCAAATTACTAACAGTATTATGTGTAATTGGCTCCTATTCAGTTTCTTTGAAACTTGGCTGCACAAACAAAAGGTTTGTTCTTTCTAATTATATGTGAGGAGCTCTAATGAAGTATTTACTGTTGTTGTATATGCTAATTTCATTTTTTATTTTTTTTTATTTTTGAAGTATGAATCCACTGTTATAATCTTAAAAAGCTTCTATGTCAGTTATCTAACATTAAGGTCTCGTTTGAGACGGCTTTCTTATTGCTTCTTAAAACTGCAACTAGTTCAACAAATAAAATTTTTATACTAAAAAATTTCTTTAAGAAGCAGTAAGAAAATTGTCTCAAACGAAGCCTAAATTAGCCTCGCAAGTGCACCATCAATCACTCTCTTACTTCAGTACTTTATTAGCAAAATCACCTCTTACTAAATCTTTTGGCAACATTAGTCGGAGTAGAGGGAGTGCTTGCAAGGAGGGTAGAGGAGAACTAGGAGAACTATATTATAAAAGGATATGAAAGAGCCTTCTTTCACCTTGGGACGTGGGGATAAGGGCCCTCCTTAAATCACAGAGCTGACTAGGCCATGTTAGGCCCTCTAAAAATGTATGGTGGTTTATAATGCTCCATTCACCTACTTACAAAATTCCTTCCAAAGGCCTTGGTGTGGCAACATTTTGTCAAGGCTTTGCCAAAGTTGAGGAGGGAGAGCTTGCTAAGAGAGTAGAGGATGCTTAGTACTAGGGAAGAGGATATAATAGAGCCTTCTTTTCTCTTGGGATGTGCTGATAAGATCCCTCCACAAATACCGTAGTTGTTTTGGCCAGGTGGTGCCCTTGAACGTACAGGTAAAAATTGCACTTGAATTTTGTTTTTCTCATGCCAATGTTGTTTAATGGTGGCTCGTCAAAGGGTTGACGGTTAGCTACTAACTTATAAAAGGTCTGCTATGGGCATTTCAATGTAAGGTTGAGTTAAGTTTCGTTTGGAGCAACTTTTTTGCTGCTTTCTAAAACGGGTGCAAAATTTTTTTGAATTAGAAATCATTGTACTAAAAAGTCATTTAGAAAGTAGTAAGAAAGCTGTCTCAAACAAAACCTTAATTAGATTTGGAATTAAGGCAACTTAGTGCAATCTTCTGTTTAGTCACAACAAAGTTTGCATTAGCATACTAAGTTGTAGGAGGTGATGTACATCTCATTGGGTTTATACCTATGTGCCACACACTTTATGAACTTAGATCATTCATTGTGGATCGATTGGTATCTGCCCCAGCAAAACATTGGGTTCATCGGTGTTTGATCAAGTAGACTTGAGTGGCCCAATATTTTATTGCTGGATTTATGATTAATCATTAATTTATCTATTATATTTATTAATCCTCAAGAATAATACTAATAAGAAAATGTCTCATATCACGTACAAATCAAGTATGAGCAAATGAAAATTAATAAATAATAAGTCGAACATGATATAATCATTTTATGTTTTATTGAGATTAGTTGCAATTTCTTTGTAAAAATATTTCTCCATATTTCCAACAAGACAGAGATCGAGAGAGAGAGAGAGAGAGAGAGAGAGAGAAATAGTGAAGAAGCTAAAATTTTTGTGCAAAAACTATTAAAACTAAAATTTTTTGTATTAGAAAAATAATAAATAAGTTGTTCCAAACGAAACCTTAAGAACTCACTGTTTCGTAGCAAATAGAGATTATGGTTCCTTAAGCTTTTCCTAAACTATAAAGTTTTTTTTTCTAACAAATGAGAAGAAACAAAAATATTTCTCCATATTTCCAACAAGAGAGAGAGAGAGAGAGAATTACAGACCCCAGCGGCCTTGACGAAGCTCTCGGCAACGCGATTGAGGAGAGGATGGCCAAAGTCGAAGAGCGAGCCCTTGTCAAAGCTTTTCAGCTCGTCCAACAGACTCCTACCCTCCAAGTTCACTTCACTCATTTTCTTTCTTCTTGCTTTAACCAGAACAAAACACTTAGAACAATAGAGAACGAAGAGAGAGAAATAAAATGGATGGAGAAGCTTAAGAAGCGAATTGAGGGCCTCGGTGAGCTTGCAGAGAAGAGGTCACGGACTGGTTCGAAGACACGTGTTAGCCAGAGCGTACGTGCATGCATGCTGAGCTCCACGTGTAGCTGCGGATCCGGAATATCATCACGCAAATGACACGAGTCCGTCTATTGGATAATGAGATAACGACATAGCGAAGGCTGCGTCACTTAGCATAATTTTTTTCTCCAAAAACTGCCAGCTGAGTGAGAACATCTGCGATATTCTTAAAATCCAACAAACCTCTAGGCCCATTAAATATCTGGGCCTCCCATTCACCACAAAAAGCTTTCCTTTGCTGATTTCCAGCCTCTCATGTTAAAAATCTCTAAAGCCTTGGAAGGGTGGAAAGCAAAAACCCTCTCCTTTGGGGGAAGGATCCAATTTTTAAGATACACCATCTTCAATACGATTGCCTACTGGATAAGAGACTCTATCCTACCTAAGAAATGTTTCAAAATTCTGGACAAAATTAATTTGTTCTCGTTTTCTTTACTCCAGTGACATCGCTACAAAAAAATTACGTCTGATTGCCTGGAAAGACACCTGCATTCCTAAAATCAATGGTGGAATTGGACTGCCTTCTCTTGACTCTTTATCTTTCACCTTCGGCTGCTCTATCATCTGGCGGTTCTTAAATGGTAGCAGCCTACTTTTTTGCTGTTGGCGTAATCTGTACACCTCTCTTTGGTTTCCTCATAATAAAGGCAGTTCTCAATTCTGGAATCAACTTTCTGCTATTGCCTTACAAATCAAAAACTGCCTGAAATTTAAGATACTCTCTAATTGTCACCATTCCCTCCTTTGGGACCCCTGGTGCCAAGGCAAATCCATCATTGAGTTGGCTGTTTCTAATTTTAATGAGAGCTGGATGGAGTACCTTAACAGGAAGACTGTGTCTACTGTTCTGATGAATGGTAGCTGGAATTTGCCTAGTTGCTGGCCTGCTGCTTTAACGAATATTATAAACTCTGTCCCCATTTCTGATGCTGGTTATGGCTGTCTTTGGGCAAATTCTGAGAAAGTTACTAATAAAATTTTTAGGAAGAAATTTTATATGCATTATCCGGTTTTAAAATTTTGTTTGGCATAAGCATTCGGCAATCAGGTTTTTGGCTTTTGGTTGGCTGGCTGTTAAGAATGGGCTAAAAACGGCAGACATGTTGATTATGCGGGGTATTAAAGTTAATCCACTATGTACCTTTCGCTTGGTGAGTAGAGAATCACATTCCCATCTCTTCTTTGAGTGTGATTTCTCTTTTAAGATTCTCTGTACACTGATTACCCAAGCTGACTCTTTACTTCTCCGTCCGAACATCTTCCAAGTTTTTGATTTGATTGACAACCTATCGGACTCTTCTGATATGCTGAATTTCTATTGCCTATTAGTAAATACTGCTATTTACTACATTTGGCGGGCTCGTAATGACAGAATTTTTGGCAACATTATTGAATGTCACACTACTGTGATTAGGAAGATAAAATATGCAGTTCATGCTAAATTGGGGAGATGGAAAAATGGCAGCAACCTATTATATCTTTTGGGGTAATTGGTGCTCTCTTGCTATTCCTAGCAATGAGTTCCTGGATGTTTTTGTATTAACTGTTGGGGGCTGCTTCAATTGCTGGTTTCTTTGCTGGCTGCATTTACTGGATGCCCACTGGGTTGCTTTGGAAGATAGGTCTTTTTGGTTATTTCAGACAATTTTGCAGGACGATGATGACCGCTGCAGCACTAACCCCTTGGAGGGTCTTTATGGCAACCAGGGGTTCATTTCTGTCCAATTCGATGACCGAGTCCCTCATCTTTTGTTGCAGCATATGCCTGAGTCCTGATCAAATTTTGTATACCACATTTTTGTTGGTTTCATTGGTTAGTTTTACTGGTTGTATAGGTTTCTCTTTTTTCATTTGTTGTCTTTTTTGGGCTTCTTCCGATTTTCTGGGATAAGCTTTTATTACTTGTAATTTTTTCTTAATTAATAGAAGGGCTTCTGCCCCAAATTTCCCAAAAAAAAAAAAAAAAAGGAGAGAAGTTATTCTGTGAAGAGATTGCGTATAGAACATCATCTAGAGACTAATCAAAATGCGTAATGTCACGTCAGTGGTATCGAGCTGCGGTGCTAAGCACAAGGATGATATGACACATTCTGATTAGTCTCTGGACGACACATTCTGATTGGTATCTGAACGACGTTCGACGTCTACACAGAATAATTAATCAAAAGAGTGAGCAAGCGAAACATAATTTTTTGTTTGTAAATTTCCAAAGAAGAAAAATTACACATATAATGATACGTTGATGCAAATATTTCTAGTGATGTTGAATGGAAAATTTGAGCTCGAACTCGACTCATTAGAATCAAAGCAGACTCGAGCTTGAGAACCCATGAGCAGGAAAGTTGCAGAGGGAATGGGTTGGAGATAGGGGTGCAAATGAACTTAGTGTTTGACAAGGTACTTGTGGCTCGATTTTATTATTGTTCATTCATGAACATTTATTTAAGTGATCAAATTAGTTTGAACCATTTTTAAAATATTTGACGGTTAAATAAGTGAGCTTAAATTATTATGTATTCAATTTGTTTAATTTCAAGAACAATATTAATTAAAGCTCATTAAAAATCACTATTAATATTTAATAAGTAGCTCATGAATACATAAGAATTGATTGTCTTGTTCCAAATCTTTATTTGATGTTTTTTTACATAATCTTTTATTTTATTATAATAAATTATTTTTTATTATAAAAAATTATTTTTTATTTTATTCTCTTTCAATTGAATCAATTCATTCACGGATAAGAAGTGTTCATTTATGTTTGTTGAATTATTTGCTTTTAGTGTTCATTAACTAAATTGTTTATAAGAAGAATCACATATTCTGAGCTCTTTTATTTGTGAATGAGCATGTTTTTTAGCTCGAAAATATTTGCTAGATATATTCATGAACATGTGTTTTTGTTAGCTAGAAAATACTTACTAAATATGTTCCCAATAGGCTCTAAGTAATTATTTGTTAATAGGCTCGACAATGCCTGTTTATTAAACTATTGAACATCTAGAAAGTATAGCTCATTAATAGTTGCTTAAAGCTCGATAAGCAAGCCATAAATCATATATGAACCAAATACAAATCAAATATAAACATCAATCGATTTAAATGATCCAAACTTAAATGAAAACATAAAAGCTTGAATCTAGTTTGACCAAGTTTGAAAATGATGATAATACATCAATTCAAACATGAACAAGCTCGACTCGGTTCATTTGCAGCTCTAATTGGAGATGACATCGACAAGACTGAGAGTAGGAAAACTGAGATAGGAGCTTATGGAAAAGGCATCGAGAGAGCTCCCTTTTAAGGGAAGTGTGACAGGAAGTGGGTGGTCGCAGAAGACAACATCAACAAGACCAATTCCTTAATAGAACACTTCTCATTGGTAGTGGGGACCTGGAATATTGACTATGCATACATCGAACTTAAAGGAAGGAAGTTGAGATGCAACTTGAATGAAAGTCTCAACTCCATGTATAAATTTATTTGTCAATCCTCTTCGACCCGATAATAATCTATTATATATCAAATATCTCTCTTCTTGGATAATCATTTAGACGTTGAAGCAAACGTCCCCCTACATAGTTATGAAATCAAAGTATACATGCCATACTTTCGAATAAATGTACTTTACTTGAATTGGAATGCATTGTAGGTATCACAATAACACATTGTAGGTCTCACAATCATCTCACAACCATGTCAACTATTGTTTGATCATGCTCTAATCATAATCATGCCCTAAGCAGAGTCTTTACCCTCTACACTGAATGTCTATTTCCGTTCCTTCTCCAAATGACAGTTAACTCATAAAAGATCTCAATTGCAATTTTTTGTTCATTTCATAGGAAAATAGGGAAATAATGAAATTATCATTGATAATTCTCTTCCAATTCTTTTCTATGTTATAGGATTAGTTCTCAATGACATTTTCTCCCCACATAATTTTCTGGTTGGGGTTGGTCTTGTGTCTGACTAGAGTTTGATGATAACTATTATTAATAATTTCTATAATAAAAAAAAATTAAAAATTACCATCTTGTAGAGGTCAATGACATAAAATCAATTGGGCGGATTGAATTTTGATGGATAGTTTACAAGAATAATTTTGAGAAGGCTCTTTAATGAAATTTGAGTCTTCAAAAATTAGAGATAAAGACTACTAACAATTCATGAAATTGAAGTTGTTGAAACTTTTAGAAGTCTAAAATTTCTCAAATTAACAATATTGAAAAATGTGTGCCTTATTGTTATTCGATGCCATGAATTGGCCACCAAATGTGGAGAAAAGGCTAAGGAGTTGCACGTACACTACTGAAGATGATAATCAAATTGGCTAGTCTATCTAGCATGAGCCGGCCCTTGTTGGTTCAACTAATTCAATCTTTTGACAATATTTTCTTACATCATTCTGATATTATTCCAATTAATTTCTTAATTAAGTCATATTAATAGTCAATTTAGTCTCTCTAAATTGCATTGGGACTCACATTTGGTGCCAAAATCATACATTCAATTTTTTTTTTGCAATCCTAACTCCAATTTTATTTCCATAAGGTAAAATTAATAAATGGGTTTTTATAAAACTTTTACTAAGAGTTTTGTTATTAGCAACCAAATCTATCAAAGTAATAATAGGCAGTAATGCTTTTTAATTAAAAAAAAAAAAGAGGAAAAGGACCCCACACAATTTGTTCTTTAACAAGAAAACAAATAAATATAAATCTAAAAAAAAAAAATTCCCATGTCATCTTAGAAGAGAAATCAAAAGTATGATTAAGTTAACCACCTAATATCATCCATTATTTGTTAATCTTATCAATCATTCTATAAAATCTATCCATGATAAGCATTTAGCATCCATTAACCATTAATGTATGATGCATATATTTTCAATAACCTAGTTTCCAATCATATCAAGAAATATATTACCAATAGTTCACCTTAGCGGCACTCAGAGGCCGGTTTCACGGAGGAGCGAGGAGCGGGGCGAGATCTTCAGCCTTGCTTTGATGCCGGAGTGGGGTCAAGATCTTCGGCCAGAGGGACCTTGTCGGTGGCTGGAGGGACTTTTTCGGCGACCAGAGGGGGAGCGTCTCGATCGTGAGAGGGCGGAGGAGACGGGGGCGAGTGTCACACATGAGAGAGAGGAGCAGGCGAGTAAATGAAATGGAAGGCTCGGTACGGCTTATTTTAGGGCATTTTCAGGCTGCTTTCCGATGGTTAAGATCGCCGGAAATAATTCACTTAACACCGGCGGTTTTAACCGCCGGTAAAGTGACGGTAAGAACTAATGCCGGCATAATAACCGGCGGTTATTTGACCACTGCTAATTTCGGCGGCTTAAAATTAAATAACCGCCGGTAAACACCAGCGGTCTAACCGCCGGTAAACACCAGTTGTTAATCTTATCAATCATTCTATAAAACCTATCCATGATAAGCATTTAACATCCATTAACCATTAATGTATGATGCATATATTTTCAATAACCTAGTTTCCATCATATCAAAAAATATATTACCAATAGTTCACCTTAGCGGCACTCAGAGGCCGGTTTCACGCAGGAACGAGGAGCGGGGCGAGATCTTCGGCCTTGCTTTGATGCCAGAGTGGGGTCGAGATCTTCGGCCGAAGGGGCCTTGTCGGCGGCCGGAGCCGGCCGGAGGGAGCGTCTCGATCGCAAGAGGACGGAGGAGACGGGGGTCGCACATGAGAGAGAGAAGCAGGCGAGTAAATGAAATGGAAGGCTCGGTACGACTTATTTTAGGGCATTTTCGGACGGCTTTGTGGCGGTTAAGACCGCCAGAAATAATTCACTTAACAAACAGTCGGTAAAGTGACGGTAAGAACTAATGCTGGCAGACTAATCGACAGTTATTTGACCGCCGCTAATTCCAACAGCTTAAAATTAAATAACCATCGGTGTTTGTAATTGATGAATTTCCTGTAGTGATTGATGATTAAAAAAAAATTGTCTAATTTGAATTTAAGGAAAGTCGTGATCATAAGCTTGGCATAATGCATTATAAATGTTTACTCTAATCAATCAACATTTATTTTAGCACAAATTCATTATAAAGAATGAGGAGATGAACACATCCTAAACTCATCATCAGATAAAGAATAGGCCTATGTTGCAGAGTCTATGTTTAAATAATCTATTCTTGAATGTATTGATCCTAGACTACATGCCAACTAAAAAGTACATTATATGATCTAGGAATCAACAAAGGCCATAGGTTGACATGATATATGTTTGCCACCTATTGATATCCCGCATTATGAGCCCACAAGCTTAATCAATACTACTCTCACTTGAATCATAAACTATGCGTGTTCTATTTAAATTGGTCTAGTCTGTAAGTGAGTGGCGTCTAAACCTATAATGTAACTCGCCTTTACAATTGCCAACACAAGTAATGTGAATGTACCATGAAACTACCAATTCCTAATTTGCTTATGTTTCTAATGTTTTCTATCCTAGGGTTCTTTGCAAACAAATGTGCACATAAAATATGATTTACAATCATATATGAGTGTATAGGTGCACATTAAAAGACCCAAGTCCCATGTATAATTAATTGAATGATTGATTAAGTACAAATAAACATAGATAATTGATTTTAATAAAACATAGCTTATATATATATATATACACACACACACACAATTTTTTTTATGCATGCATAATATTAATATATGAAAATACATAATAATAACACACATGAATGCAAATATATGACTATAAGAAACATCTTATCTCTCTTTTCCTAAAAAAATGATTTATTTGTCATTAAAATCATTATAATTCTCTTATAAATAATTTCAAATATTTTTTTTTATATTTGTATGTAATGTACTAAGATATTTTCAAAAAGTAATGCCATAGTAAGAAAGGTAAATTAAACATATTTAAAATCTACTCTTATGTATTATATTATAATAAAAAAATTATCTTAAAATAAAAAAATAAATATTTTGACAATGCACTTAGCTATTATTAAAATATCAAATAAAAAAGTACATATAATCTTTATATTTTAATATTTCAATATTGAAATTGATTTTTGTCTGCTAAAAAAGATAAAATTTCTATATTTTCATACATCATATAATACATTATACAAAAATATTATATTATTAAATAAAGCTAAATTCAATTGAGTCAAACAAATTCCCAAAAAATTCAAAATAACTTTTAATTTTGAATAATTTTAAGAACTCTTGATGAATAATTTCTTATTAAAAAAAAAAAAAGAAAGCCTCCATTTTCTAGAAAATTCTTTTTATTTTTGTAAATGCAATAATGCATTGCTTATTTGAAAAAAAAAATTTCATGCTGATATGACCGTTGCTCAAAGATGATGCAAAAGTTGATGATTTACATTGCCTCTTATTAAACCTAAATAATTTTTCAACATTTAATTATATTGGATTTTAAAAGAATTAATTGTTTATTCAAATAGAGAATTAAACGAGAATTTGACTTTTAATAAGACACAATGGAGAAAAAGGATTCATGTAGCCGACCCCACGTAGTGGGATAAAGGCTTGATGTTGTTGTTGTTGTTGTTGTAATTGTTTATTCAAATAGTACACTTATCTCACAGCAAAGTAATTTAATAATTTATTGAAATCAAATTTTATGCAGGATATCTAACCCAAAATTTCCCCAAAAAATCAACAAGATAGCCATCTCTCCCAAGAAAACATTCACATAGGATGAATCTAAAAAACATTGGATTTGCTTTAAGATGAGTGTAACATAATTTATTTTTTTATAATCCCGATTCATGTAATAATCATTCGATAAATTTTATGACGATTATTGATTATTTAACACAACCCTTAACTTTTTTCATCCAGATTTAAGACCTGGCAACGAAATGTAGACATAAAAAGACTTTTGTCTCAGGCAAATAAATATAAAATTTCCCTAAACTTAACAAACTCAAACAATGTTCTTGGATAAATGCATGACATCATTCACCACAAAAAGAAGAAGAAGTTTTGATCTGCAATTGACTGTCTACACCATGAAATTGCTTAAACTTACAGGGCTCATCAACTGATCCGAAGCTCTGAAATTCATTAATGGAGTTGCTCAGATGGCTTTCAACTGATCCGAAGCTTTGAAATCCAGTGATGGAGTTGCTCAGCCACACAGTCTGAACCAGTTGAACCGTACGATGAAAACTTGTTTATAGAATTCTCAACTCCCAAATATTCATAAACATCTTCTTCAAACACAGGATCTATTCCTCTCAGATCATCAAGCGCCAGACCAGAAAGCTGACAATTTCTTGACACGCAGAGAGCAACAGATCTTCCAACAATGTCATGCGAAGTTCTAAATGGCACCCCCTGTGAAGAAATAAGCAAAGGAAATAGAAGAATACAGATAAAACCTCAAACCATGAAAGCAACACTGGAGAAAAAACTGTGCAGAGATCCTGAATCTGTTTTTAAACCTCAATCGACAAACAAAGTTACCTTCTTTACAAGATAATCAGCAAGGGTTGTAGCGTCGAGATACCCAGCAGGAAGGGCCTTGGCTATTTTTGCATGATTTAAAGTAATGTTCAGTGCAAACTCAGCTGAAACTTCTAGCATTCCTAGAATTGTTTTCACACTGTCAAATAACGGCTCTTTGTCTTCCTGTAACGGGTATGGAGGCAAATACATCATTGAGAATTTTTTAAGGGGAAAGGGCTCTACTGAAAGAGAGATTATTACGTACGGTGTCCGGATCGTCCGGAGATGAATCCGGACACGCCACATCACCCGAATGCACCGGGCCCTGGGTGATGTGGCCCGTCCAGATTTGCCTCCGAACGAATCCGGACGCCGCACGTAATAATTTTCAGAGATCTTACTTGCAGATCACGGTTGTAGGCTTGTGGGAGGCCTTTGCATAGAACCAAAAGAGTAACAAGGCTTCCAATGACCCTGCTAGATTTTCCACGAACAAGCTCCATTGGATCTGGATTTTTCTTTTGAGGCATAATGCTGCTTCCTGTTGAAACGGAATCACTGGGAGTCAAGAATCCAAACTCTTCTGACGCCCACAAAACCCATTCTTCGCCGAGCCTTGAAAGATGCATGGCAATGATGGAATTGGCAGAAAGGAATTCCAGCACAAAATCTCTGTCTGAAACTGCATCAATGCTGCATATTATAGTGAAACACTTATGAAAAAATATTTCAACAACAACAACAACAACATCTTTATTCCATTATGTGGAGTCAATTATACGAATCATTTTTCTCCGATGTGCTCTATTAAGAGTCAAATTCTCATTTAAATCTAATAAAAAAATATCATTTTTGATACATTCTAATCAAGTCTTTTTAGATCTACCTCTATCTTTTTTAACTGAAAAAACAAAAAGCAATGATCAAATAGAATAATGAAGGCTTCTTTTACAAAGAATGGTGGAATGGTGGTTGCCACAAAGAAGTTAAAAAGTTTCTGGATGCCACTGTAAATATGAATGCTCTTAGGTGATAACTCCTCCAAACCTTACTAGTCACAAGCTAAATGGGTAGCATGTAAAGAAGAATATTTTAGAACATAGAGGGGGAGCAATAGAATTCCTTCCAAATAAAGGCTACCACTGACAATCACCTCTCTTCAACCACAATAGCCACGGAGTTCATCACAATGACAGTCCATAAGACAGCTACCCAAAGAGAAAGACAATAATATGTGAAACTAGGTGAATGTAGAACCACAATGTAAAATTCCATCTAAAGAAAAATAAAATAAACAGACTAATGCCCGTACAAATGAACCGGTATTAATCAGTTCTGCCCTTATAATCAAGGGAGAAGGGAATTCAAGAGGGAGAAGAAAAGTGAGGATGAGAATGCGCGATAGAATAAGAGAGAGAGAATGAGCAACCAAAAGAGAGGGAGAGACAAAATGAGAAAGAGCAATGAAGAGAAATATGAAGAGGATTGGGCAAGCAAGAGAGAGGGACAGAGAGAGTATATGAGTGCCAAATGATCTAGAAAATAGGCGAGAGTGGGTGGGCACCCTAGTAGGCATGCGAAGTCAAGCATGAATAGGAAAGTGAAGGATCGTGCTAAACAAAAAAAGGCCTACAAAAGTACAACGCTATATGGGAGCCCTACGAGAGGGTGCATCAACAATTTTCATCCTTTCACCTTGAGGACAAGGTGATTCTTATTTTTGGGGGGAAGGGGGGGGGGGGGTTGTTAGATTGGTCCAACAGGGACGTTAGATTGGTCCAACATGGACCGACCCAGTCAGCCCTAGACAAGGGGCTGGTTCTCTTTTATAACAGGCGGAAGCTAGTTATTTTCGCCCCATGACAATCGCACTCCCTTGGGGTGGAGTCCATAGCAAAGGGAAATTTGAATTAAGCAAGGGTTGTTTACTCTTTTGAGAGGGGATTATTGTGTTTGCTTGAAATTAGATTTTGCATTAGGATTAGGGTTTTATCTTGGATTTTACTGGAATTTCCTGTTGGTACTTAGTGTCTTGGGCTCTTGCGGAGTCTAGAGAATTGTGAGAGCTAGATCCTCCTCTCGAATTGAGGATCACTTGTATCGTGATATTTTCCTTCCATTTGCATCAATACATGTTTCAAGACCCTCAATGCTTAAATCGAAAAAGGTGTCCGTTATGAGCCCTCTTATTGTATAATGCATGTGTACTAAAGACATACAAACACGTTATACAAATACATTAAGTGGCGTGTATGTGTACCTCTAGTCAGATGAGTGCACGGTAAGAGCATATATATCAACATATGAACATATTGTTAATCATGCAAAAAAATTGTTGGGTATGCACATGGACAATCATGCGAACGTATAGGTACATTACATAAAATGCACATTCAAGTAAACATGAAAATACACATAAGTATCCAGATATGCAAGCATATAACATGCATGCGTACTATGCACAAATGTTAAGTAACATGCCAACGTGTAATGCATACACCAGATGACATGTAAATATATCGTGCATGTACCAAACACAACTTGCATACACCATGCAACATACAAAAATGTCAAGCAAGCACATTAAACAATGCGCAAATGTATATGCAAATACACAAGTACGCACACAAGCATGTAAATGCATACAAGCGTGCAAATATGTAAATAAATATGCAAATGTGTATGCGAATAGGCATATATGTTATATGCATCCACCGCATTACATGCAAACACACTACATGTATACATTGCAACATGTGTATGTAACATGTGTATACACTATCCAACATGCAAAAGCATTACATATGTACGACATACAACATGCAAGTACATTACACAAGCATAAATGTAATATGCAAATGCATCATACAAACATACATGCAATATATAAAAGAGTTATACAAGCATCCTACACAACATGCAAAATAAACCATCATCATGTAAATGTATCATACTCATCATACAAACATGTCTATCCATTATGAAAAAAAGCACTGAAAAACAAATCCACGACGAATGCTATAAACATGTAAGCATGACGTCTGAGGACACTGCACAGACCATAAAATAACAAATGAACTATTAAGTATATCAAAAAGCGTGCATATCATTTAAATATATAATTGTTCGCATGGGCTCTGAGGAGCGCAATACATATACAAACATGATGTATGAGAATGTTGCGCAGTCGAAAAATAATAAATGAATTTTAAACTTATCGCATTGAAAAGTGCACAAACATATTACACAAATGCACTAACATATACACATCATTTAAAATAAAACATAAAATATCCACATGTACTCCAACCGCTATGCTAAATTTTCAAACCTAAGGTCTGAGAATATAGCATGGTTCAAGTGAACCTAAGTTTAAATTCGATCTTCCTCCTAGAATGGATCAGAATGGTCTCTACTTTTTAAATGCTCCCAAATCTCAAAATTAATTATTAAGGGGTTCTGATTTTTATTAAAGTTCAAAACTCAAGAATCATCAAAATTTAAAATATTCAAGAAGAAATTTATTACTCACTTTAAAATAAAAATTTCATCCACCATCCATAATAGTTTGTTGAGGATAAATTTGAGCACAACTTTAGCTCACAAAAAGTGAATGTCATATTGGGTGAGATTTATTCTCAAACGATCACTCGCCAGTAAACATATGATCCTCTAATCAATGGCTTTGCCGTTAAATAACACCACAAGTAAACTATTATGTCTGGAGCCCTCTAATCAGATGATTTTGCCGTCAAATGGTACTACTAAATTACGGTCACTATCAGAGCCCATATGTTTCATAATAACTCTAAACCCTGGAGTAATGAATCATGGGGTATACTTGATAGGGAAAAAAATCTTTTGTTAGCTAAGGTGAACTTAAATATGTCCTCTTAGTCAAGCCATTCATCCAAAGTTTACAAGATACTCTTGGAAGACGCAACCAATGGCTGCCGATAATGATCTTTCGGTTAGGTTAGGTAGACTACCTCCTCTAACTAAGTAGACTAAGAATCATGATAGTCCAAGATGACATAACCATGAGATTTTGATCAGACCCATCACCATTCCTCCCACCATTCGCTTAAAGTGTAAGATGATAAATTTCAAAATTCTAAAAGTCCTAAAAACCAAACATTTCGATTGATAAAACTTTTGTGACTATACGCTAGGTTAGTGTCTATCTAATGATCAGTCTGAACGAAAAGTGCTCTCTCATTATCAAGAGGAGTAATTAACCATAGGGGCATGTGCCTATAGGAAAAAGAAACAAGATCATAAAATCTTCACAAATTGAGGGCGAAATTTCTAAAGTGTCCTATAAAAAAATCTAAAATGCCTTCTAAAAACCAAGGCAAATAAAAATTTTTAGGAGTTATTATAAGTCAAAATCACAAACCGTCTTCGCCATAGTATTGAAATTATAATATTTTAATTACACGATTTTTTCATAATTTTTGGGCATTGGTGAAAATCCTAAAAAAATTGACACCTGTCAGTACAAGTGGGGATTTTGGTATCGTCAGGTCTCCGTTTTGTTTGCAAATCGATTTTATCAATATTTTCTAAATAAAATAAATTATTTTATATGAATTTTTTTTTTGAATGCCCTAAAACGATTTATATGAATTTTATATTGAAAATTAAATAAATTATATAATTATATTAATATTATATTATAGTATTTTATTATAAATATCTCTAATCACTAACAAAAATCCATTTCAAGCCATTTGTTTCTTCCATTTGGCTTAACAGAGAAAGAAATCCAAAATACAAGAAAGAGAAGAGAGATAAAGAGAAAACCTAAATTTGAAGATCGTGAAGCGATTTTAGTCAGTTGATCCAGTTGGGAGATTTGCTTGTATCATTGTAAGGAATCTTTACCCTATTTCTAATTTCAATGATTTTATGTTTTGAATAATTTTTTCAATCAAATTTGTATTTCTGTTACAGAAAAATAAGGATAATTTTGTATTGGTAAAACTTTCACAGCGTAAGAGATTATGAACATTTTAAATATTTTTTGGAAACTTTTTACCTAGTAATTTTGAAAAGCAACAATTTTTTACTACTCTGAAATTTATTTTGACACCCAAAAATAGTACTCCAGTTTAATTAAAGATTCAGAATAATATTTTACGCAATATGTACTAATTTGGTTAATTTTTAAAAATATGAATTTTTGCTCAACACGATTTTCTGTTGACTTCCGTTAGAATAGTTTGTACTTTCTCGACACGATTTTGGTACTTTCTTAGGTCTCACCCCATCGTGCTAAGAAAAATGTGAAAGTGCTCAGATGACACTAGAAAGTGCTCTGAAATCACTTGAAAGTTCGTTAGGAATATTAAGCCCTTATGAACTGGCCCAAGGCTAATAATGAGATAGAGAGGTGAATCAGTATTTAAAACACAATCTTAAATCCAAAAACAAGATTCACCACAATCAAAACCAACGATGCGGAAATTAAATGCGGAAGTAATAATAAGAAAATAACACACCGAATTTATAGTGGAGAGAGAGAGAGAGAGAGAGAGAGAGAGAGAGAGAGAGAGAAAGAGAAAGGGAGACCAGTCGTGCCTACCGGTCCGGTCAAACTCCCCCGTTCGGCTTCCTCTCCAGTCGAATCCCGAGCCCGGTCGCCTCCTCCCTCTGTGCTGTTCGACTTCGCTCCTAGACCGACTTTCCCT